CAATTTCTGAAGAGTGTAGGTTTTAGAATGGATTTGGGCTCCGCTTTCTTCATAGAAACAGGGAGACCTGGAATTTTTATTTATCAGAAATCCCAAGTTAAGAATCTGTTACCATTGTATCCATTCATAACTCGTAATGACCACATGCGATGGAGTAGAACTGCCCTGCCCATGGGATTTCCACTGCTGGTATCTTTACAGACGCTGACTGCTTCATCTTTTTCCCTCAGAGAAGCTGGTGGGTTTGAACTACCAATCTTTCAGTTAGCAGATAAGAGCTTTAAACTGCGCCACCAGGACTCCTTGATTCCAAGCTAACCCACATCCATCAAGTCAATTCTGACTCATAACCACCCTGTGTTGGGTTTCCCAGGATGCAGCTCTTTCAGGAAGCAGACAGTCTCATCTTTCTCCTGTACAGCAGCGGTGGGTTTGAACCATGAACCTTTCAGTTTGCAGACCAGCCCTACAGAGCCACCAGAGCAGTTAGCAGTGATCAAACCAACAAGGTTTTAACCAGAATTGTTAAGAGCCTCATGGAAACCACAGAAACCACGCTTGTTGAAGGCAATCTGTCATTTTTGAAATGATGTGTTCGACCCATTTTAAAGTTATAAAAGGAATCATTTCAAAGGTTATAAAAGCAAACATAAATACGCTTAATCCATTTTTCCTGTCTGCGTTTTTCAGTTTTCAAAACTACTTTTGGTGAATGAATATCAGCCTGCAGAGTCATGACTACAATTCTCTCTGTTAGTCTAAGGCAGAAGGAAAGCTGCACTTGCTGGTGCAGTGGTCAAAATGCACTGCAAACGAAAACTTTGTGGTTCAAATCCACCCAGTGGCTCTGAAGGGGAGAAGACCTGGAGATCTGCTCCTGAAAACCTAAAAGTCTAGGAAACCCAGTAGGGCAATTCTACTCTGTTACACCAGGGGGCGCTGTGAGTGGATGATCTATAAGAGTATATACAAGTATATAGTGACACAATAGATGACAGTCTAGGAAACCCTGTGGGGCAGTTGTCCTCTGTTACACCAGGGGACACTGTGAGTGGATGATCTATAAGAGTATATATGAGTATATAGTGACACAATAGATGACAGCCTAGGAAACCCTGTGGGGCAGTTCTCCTCTGTTAC